ATACAAGAGCATTGGTATAACTATACTCTTATACATTCCCCTCTTTGCTTTCATGGATAAAGTTCTTTGTCTCCACAGACTCCTCAGTGCACCACTCACCTTTTCCCCCTCGTGAATTCTGTGATTCACCTCATCCTTCATAGACCCATCTGCTGACACTTCCACTCCCAAATATCTGAACACATTCACCTCCTCCATACTCTCTCCCTCCAATCTGATATCCGATCTTCCATTACCTAATTTTTTTGTTATCCTCATCACCTTACTCTTTCCTATATTCACTTTTAACTTCCTTCTTTTACATACCCTACCAGACTCATTAACCAACTTCTGCAACTTCTCTTCAGAATCTCCCAAAAGCAGTGTCATCAGCAAATAGCAACTGTGACAACTCCCACTTTGTGTTAGATTCTTTATCTTTTAACCCCACACCTCTTGCCAACTCCCGAGCATTCACTTCTCTTACTACTCCATCTATAAATATATTGAACAACCATGGTGACATCACACATCCCTGTCTAAGGCCTACTTTTACTGGGAAGTAATCCCCCTCGCACCTACATACTGTAATCTGAGCCTCATTATCCTCGTATAAACTTTTCACTGCCTTCGATTACCTACCTCATATACCATACATTTGCAACATCTGCCACATTACCTCCCTCTCCTCTATCATGCCTTTTACAAATCCATAAATGCCACAAAAACCTCTTTACCCTTTTCCAAATACTGTTCACCTATGCATTTCACTGCAAACAGTTGGTCTACACACCCCCTACCTGTCCTAAAGCCTCCTTGTTCATCTGCTATCCTCCTCCCTGTCTTACTCATAATTCTATCAATAATAACTCTACCATACACTTTACCAGGTATACTCAACAAACTTCTTTCTTTCAACACACGGCCATGTCCTACCGAGGTGGGGTGGCCCTAAAGGAAAAACGAAAGTTTCTTCTTTTACATTTAGTAATATATACAGGAGAAGAGGTTACTAGCCCCTTGCTCCTGGCATTTTAGTCGCCTCTTACAACATGCATGGCTTACGGAGGAAGAATTCTGTTCCACTTTCCCATAGAGGTAAGAGGAAATAAATAAGAATAACTAGAAAAAAATAGAAGAAAACCCAGAGGGGTGTGTGTATATATATGCTTGTACATTTATGAGTGCAAAAATTATAGGGGGATAAGTCTGTTGAGTATACCTGGTAAAGTGTATGGTAGAGTTATTATTGAAAGAATTAAGAGTAAGATGGAGAATAGGATAGCAGATGAACAAGGAGGCTTTAGGAAAGGTAGGGGTGTGTGGACCAGGTGTTTACAGTGAAACACATAAGTGAACAGTATTTAGATAAGGCTAAAGAGGTCTTTGTGGCATTTATGGATTTGGAAAAGGCGTATGGCAGGGTGGATAGGGGGGCAATGTGGCAGATGTTGCAGGTGTATGGTGTAGGAGGTAGTTTACTGAAAGCAGTGAAGAGTTTTTACGAGGATAGTGAGGCTCAAGTTTGAGTATGTAGGAAAGAGGGAAATTATTTCCCAGTAAAAGTAGGCCTTAGACAAGGATGTGTGATATAACCGTGGTTGTTTAATATATTTATAGATGGGGTTGTAAGAGAAGTAAATGCGAGGGTCTTGGCAAGAGGCGTGGAGTTAAAAGATAAAGAATCACACATAAAGTGGGAGTTGTCACAGTTGCTCTTTGCTGATGACACTGTGCTCTTTGGAGATTCTGAAGAGAAATTGCAGAGATTGGTGGATGAATTTGGTAGGGTATGCAAAAGAAGAAAATTAACCCTTTCAGGGTCCGTCCCGTAGATCTACGGCTTTACGTTCAGGGTCCAAACCGTAGATCTACGCCATGAGCTCAGCTCACTCTGATAAACTGTGAGTGGTACATTTGGGCCTAGATATGAGAGAATACATCTATGTGGTATGTGTGCACCACATAAAACAGATCCTGCAGCACACTGTGTATAATGAGAGAAAAAAATGAAATCATGATTTTTCAATTAAAACAGCAACTTTGCAGTGTTTTTTCGTATGTTTTTTATAGTTGTATTTGCGATTTCTTGGTCTCATTTGATAGAATGGAAGACATATTACAGAAATAGAGATGATTTTGATTTGTTTTAGCACTGGAAATGGCTTGAAACTGAGCTCAAAGTAGCAGAAATGTTAAATTTTTGCCGATATTCAAGAGTAAACAAACGACCTCACACGTCTAATACACGCCAGCTGGTGGGTTTAATATACATTCACAAATATGGTGATGATATTTATACAATTATTACAGTATTGCATAACAGTAAATCTTCTATTTTTTGGTGTGAATAAAAATTCATTATGTGAATAAAAAATCAAAATGGAATTTATTTGTAAAGCCTCAAAACATAACTAATGAACAGAGGAAATGTTAGTTTAGTGCCAGGAATGCCTACATTGTTCATTCTGGACCCTATTTTGAAATTGGAATATTTTGAACTTTGTGTTAAATTGGCCAAATTAACAATTTCCGATCACTTTATTTTGTAGTTAAAACAGTTGACTTGGCGATTTCTTGTGCTCAATCGATAGAATAGAAGTAATACTAGTGAAATAGCTAAGAATTTGGTTGATTGGAATAATGTAATTGGCCTAAAATGGGAGTCAAAGTCGGCAAAATCGCCGATTCGTAAATATCGCTGACACATCAAAATTCGCGAGAGCATAATTTCGTCAATTTTCCACCAAATTTCGTACTTTTTGTTTTATTACCTTCACAAAAAGATTCTCTACGATTTCATAAGAAAAAATTACATTTTTTTTTTTTAAATTCTTGGACACTGGTGCGTGACTCCAGATTTGGGCCTTGGACCCTGAAAGGGTTAAAAGTGAATACAGGAAAGGGTAAGGTTATGAGGATAAAAAAAATAGGTGATGAAAGATTGGATATCAGATTGGAGGGAGAGAGTATGGAGGAGGTGAATGTATTCAGATATTTGGGAGTGGACGTGTCAGCGGATGGGTCTATGACAGATGAGGTGAATCATAGAATTGATGAGGGGAAAAGGGTGAGTGGTGCACTTAGGAGTCTGTGGAGACAAAGAACTTTGTCCTTGGAGGCAAAGAGGGGAATGTATGAGAGTATAGTTTTACCAACTCTCTTATATGGGTGTGAAGCATGGGTGATGAATGTTGCAGCGAGGAGAAGGCTGGAGGCAGTGGAGACGTCATGTCTGAGGGCAATGTGTGGTGTGAATATAATGCAGAGAATTCGTAGTTTGGAAGTTAGGAGGAGGTGCGGGATTACCAAAACTGTTGTCCAGAGGGCTGAGGAAGGGTTGTTGAGGTGGTTCGGACATGTAGAGAGAATGGAGCGAAACAGAATGACTTCAAGAGTGTATCAGTCTGTAGTGGAAGGAAGGCGGGGTAGGGGTCGGCCTAGGAAAGGTTGGAGGGAGGGGGTAAAGGAGGTTTTGTGTGTGAGGGGCTTGGACTTCCAGCAGGCATGCGTGAGCGTGTTTGATAGGAGTGAATGGAGACAAATGGTTTTTAATACTTGACGTGCTGTTGGAGTGTGAGCAAAGTAACATTTATGAAGGGGTTCAGGGAAACCGGCAGGCTGGACGTGAGTCCTGGAAATGGGAAGTACAGTGCCTGCACTCTGAAGGAGGGGTTTTAATGTTGCAGTTTAAAAACTGTAGTGTAAAGCACCCTTCTGGCAAGACAGTGATGGAGTGAATGATGGTGAAAGTTTTTCTTTTTTGGGCCACCCTGCCTTGGTGGGAATCGGCCAGTGTGATGATAAAAAAAAAAAAATTTATGTGTAGTGTGACCTAAGTGTAAGTAGAAGTAGCAAGACGTACCTGAAATCTTGCATGTGTATGAGACAGAATAAAAAGACACCAGCAATCCTACCATCGTGTAAAACAATTACAGGCTTCCATTTTACACTCGCTTGGCAGGACGGTAGTACCTCCTTGGGCGGTTGCTGTCTACGAACCTACTACCTAGAACTCAATAGACTTACTTACCTATAATTTTTATACTCTCTTTTGTCCTCTTTGCCTTTATACAAAGGAACTATGCATGCTCTCTGCCAGTCCCTAGGTACCTTACCCTCTTCTATACATTTATTAAATGAAAACACTAACCACTCCAAAACTACATCCTCACCTGCTTTTAACATTTCTGTCTTTAACCCATCAATCCCAGCTACTGCACCCCCTTTCATTCTACTCACTGCGACACGCACTTTCCCCACACAACTGGTTCTCTCTCACTCCTGTAAGATGTTACTCCTCCTTGCCCTATACACAAAATCACAGCTTTCCTATCTTCATCAACATTTGACAGTTCCTCAAAATATTCCCGCCATCTTCCCGATACCTCTAACTCTCCATTTAATAACTCCTTTCCTATTTTTAACTAACAAATCCATTCTTTTACCTAGGCTTTCTCAACTTGTTGATCTCACTCCAAAACATTTTCTTATTTTCAACAAAATTTGGTGATAACATCTCATTAACACCTCATTAAGCTTAACATCTTGGTCAAGGTTAATGAGGAAATGTTTAAGTTTTCTTTTTATTTTATGGAAGTTGATATTCAGAAATGCTCTCTTTTTTCAAGTGTCCAAGAGTGCTTTTTGCACGGTCTCCAGATACATAAATTTTGTGAATATATAGACTACTGTATTCAGCATTTGGTTTTTTGATAAATCTGACAATACATTACAGATGTTCATTGTTTTGTGCGGCTGATATGTTGCTGGCCCATGGTAGCAGTATAGAGCTGTCAAGTCATCAGCATTTAATTTTGTGTAATGAGAATTTTCGGTACATTTTGTGAACCAATGTGTAATACACATGGAAAATGTGTATTACACATTTAAGTTGAAATGGAACATTTCTGAATAGCAAATTAACAAATTCAAAACACATGCTAAGCATGGGGAATGCTGTGTATGCATAAGTGCATGTTTGAGCTGAGTTATTAATGTATTATAATTTTACTTTTTAGGTGTTACATGGTCAAGAGGTTCTAGGTTCCCGTCTAAAGGTTATGGAAGCTGATCCACATGATAAAGCTGATTCTGGGCGCAAGAGACTGCGCATCGACGACCAGAGTTGAGTCTTCTAATGCAAAGAGGTATGACATGTATGGTGTAATATTTTCATGCAAAAATGTTGAAACTGGTCTGAGGCATCACGGATGGAGATTTCAATCTGTAGGAAAAGGAATTTTCCTAGATATCCATCCACTACAGTCTTAATAGGTGTAAGAAGAATTTTGCACTGGTACTTAACATTTTGTTGTTAAACTTTTTATGATGCTGTAATAATGCAAGCATAAACTTAGGTTCAGAATGCAGTTATTAAGAATATCTCGCTTATTGAAAATTTTAGTATTGTTATTAATATATTTTGATAAATGTACAGTATATTAAATTTTAGAGACACCACACAGTTGTACATATTTATATTATAAAACCTGAAATGCTATATGTTATAGATAAAATGTTCTATGCAGACAACTTTGTAAATACACAACTATTATTTAGCATGGTATTGTAAAATGTTTATCTAATATCCAGAACTGAATTAGATAATTCCCTCAATTTTAAAGCATAATTTTATAAAAGATATCCCTCTGTCCTGGAATGGACTAGATATTTTCTGTAATTATTTAAACATGTATTACGTGGTAACAAATTATTGTATCTGTTTAGCATGCATTACACAATGCATTTTTTGTACTAGTAAATGTATACTGTATGTATTTTCATATTACAGATAGATATGTATTGATATGGCTATCATTCCAGTAGGATTTGCAGTCAAAGCTTTTATTCAGTATTTTTAATAAGATTTTAGACATTATGACGGGCTGTGATATTGATATCTGTGATAGGGAAACATGGCAGCATGTTGATAATGGGACATAAGTGGCAGTGGCATGACTAATGATATTCTTTTGTGGTTATTGTAATGTGTGAATGTGTCTACACGTCAATGCATGAGAGACTAAACTATTTTATATATATTATTACACAGGTTTACATATCTTTAATGCAAGTTATTGTGTTGATTTGCATGGTGTAACGTGGTAATTTATTACCATTATTTTTTTACATTTTTATACTTGGTATGGATGTGTGAAATGTTTTCTCTTAAACATGAATGAATATTAAAGCATGATAATAACTCAGTTACTGTAGAAATAATAAATCCAGTAAGCCACCATTTGTTAAAATTTTAAATATGTAATGTATTACTAGTAAAAAAGCATTTAATGACTGAATTTGTAATCACCTGCGAAAAATCTTGAATGCTAAATGTTTATCTCGGAAATACTTACTTGTTAGAGAATCTCATTGCCTGCAACTAATCTTTATATCTTGATTAGACATCTAAACACAAATCATTAAAATTCTGTTGCACAGACTTGGCATGAGATGAATCTTGTCATGTAAAAACCTGCACAGGTTTAGCACTTGTTTCAGTATACATAATAATTTTGTTTGAAAAGGATACTGGAAGTATAAGCGGAATATGCTCGGTTTCAATACCTGTTGCTATATTAATGAAAATATTTATAAAATATTTTGTGCTAGTGCTGTAAATTTTAAATCTATTAGCTGGCTCTTCAGTGCCTCTAAAAAAATATTACTTTCATATTGTTGATCAAACAGATAAGGTACATACTTGTAGCACTAAATGATAAAATATTTAATGAGCAAATACGACACTCATACTGCTCTAACAATTGTCCCTAATTCATAATTCAAAATCTTAATTTCTCCAGCAGTTCCAAGATAACTATTTTATTATCCAATTAGTTTATTGTCTAGTCAGTTTTTACTGCAACTGTATTAATTAGTGTTCATCAACAAACTCCATGTCGGAAGAACCAGAAGAGCAGCAGTAAAATGCTCATCAAACAGTTTCCATCACGTGAATTTGCTTATGTGCGGTAGAGGTCAGTGCTTGTAACAAACCTTACTAAATGATTTCTTCTGTATCTTTCCTAGGTGTAGGGTTAAGGATTCTTGCTGCCTTAATTTTTTTTTTTTATGTGATTGTATAAAGAATGAGTGGGGGTTCATTTTGAGGGAAGGTGTTAAGGGGAGTGTTATAAAATAGAAACTACACTATTAATACCTGACAGAATAAACACAAAGGGAATTAAAAGTAAGTGTGTTTTCACTTACACAAAATCCAAGCGAAAAAACCTATTTAAGTATTGGCCTTTTGCTAAAATTAGGTACTGTACATATATATTGACGACAAAAGAAAAGCAAAATACTAAACAAACAGTACAAATCCATTATTAGCAATTTATTAGACATAAGGTTTGAAGAACCAGATATATTTTTTTTTTTTTCATAATCTCTGCCAGCCTACAAATTACATAGATGACTTAAGAAATCGTAATGACACGATTGTAAACAAACCATACCCCCGGCCGGGATTGAACCCGCTGTCATAGAGTCTCAAAACTCCAGCCCGTCGCGTTAGCCACTAGACCAGCTAGCCACAATAGTGGCTAACGCGACGGGCTGGAGTTTTGAGACTCTATGACCGCGGGTTCAATCCCGGCCGGGGGTATGGTTTGTTTGCAATCGTGTCATTACGATTTCTTAAGTCATGTTGACGGCAGTGAAGGGACTTGAGCTAGAGTTCGTCACGGCCACGCTAGCTGTTGATTCTTCTGTAAAAACTTGCATTTGTGGTCACAGAGGTGCCTGTGCTAACCTTCCTATGGTGTAGAAATATACCTAGTTGGATGAATCTTATTGTGGCTAGCTGGTCTAGTGGCTAACACGACGGGCTGGAGTTTTGAGACTCTATGACCGCGGGTTCAATCCCGGCCGGGGGTATGGTTTAAATCACATAGATATTAGAGCACACACTACAGACAGAAGAAATTGATAGTATGCCCTTGCATATTATATAAAGAAATTCAAAATACCACTATCAAAATCACTCTGTGTACAGTATTTTGTTAAGATACACGGCAGAGAGCTCTTGCGGTCAAAGATTTTCAAATTGTCCACAACCTGGCTTTTAACTGTAACACTCCTGCAACCCAGCCAGTCAGTGATTTTTCACATGTTAAGATCTTAATACTACCTACTAATAAAGTACGAAACCGTACAACATTTAAACATTCACCTCTGACATACAGGATATAATGCAAAATTAATATTTTCTCGGTACATTTATATGTATGGTACATTTATTACTACAGAATGTTTTGAATATCAAGCAAACATTCAAAAGAACTTATGATTTGAGTAGCATGACAGTAGATCTATTGGCATGCTACTCAAATGTATTTATTTAACCTGCTGTAAGAATTTTAGTAGTAGTAATATTACATCTCAAAGGAATGAGGTACTTAACCCATTCATGACATAGGTTGTGATACTGTCAGGTGTTTGGTGACAGGGGAAGATGCAGTTTCACTGGTATCCCAATTTTTTAGTACTCCAAATATGAGAATGAGAGAGGAGATTCCAGTCTGGTCGGTGCTGCCATTTGCCTTCAGTCATAATGTTGTAGCCCATTTTTGTGGATTATCCCATAAATAGCATATGGATATTGTAATATATAGATGGCTGATGTTATGTTTATTGTATATAAAATATACATTGCTGATCATTGAAGTATGACAGGTGGAAGGCACAATACGTAATTTAATGTCCAAGTAATACCCTGCTTTGATATATTTGTTGATGAGACTAACCTTGCAACATGAAACATGATGTCTCAGGATTACCTATGGCTACTGGCCGCATCCTAAGTGCCTTTTAGGCTTGTGTGGTGGGCAGTTTTGTATCCATGGTCCTCCCTGCACTGAATGGTCTTGAGGGCTGAGTTTGTCATACATTATTGGCTATTGCCGAATTACTATGGGCAGGAGCAGAAGCCAGTGATATGTGTGTGTGTGTCTAATGAAGACCTGACTGTCAGTCCCTTGAGGACTTCGTGACATGCCCACACCAAAAGCACATCCAGAGAGCCAAGAAAATGTTCTCACTAAAGTTAACTGTACTAATGTACCTAGAAATGGTCTGTTACCATGTGTCTGAATTTTTCACTTGTGGTGCAAAGTTCTAATACAAAACAATGTTCCTTGCCATATCATGAAATCTCTGTTCATTGGCTTCATGACTGTGAAGTACCCTTTGATGACAGGCCAGGACCCTCTTCCCCCAAGTGTGAAGCTCATTGAGAATCTCTGTGCTGAGACAGGAAGAGATCTACTAGGGAATGGGCATAGCCCACTTCTGCAGCTTTAGGATGCGAACCTCAAATAGGGAAATTTACCCCATGAAATCCTGAAGAATATGTTAGTCACTTGTAGATGTCCTAAAGCCTAAGGATGACCTATTTTGTGATTGTGATTCTAGAGGAGGCTGACGTACTTCAAGTATGGTCATTGTATATAGAAGAATGAAATACTAATTCATCCAGGATGGAAGAATACAGTGGAACCTCGGCTTACGAATTTAATCCATTCCCTGACCTTTAGAGGACCACTGAAGTGCATGCCTAATAGATTTAAAATTTACAGCACTAGCACAAACCCTCTATTTTATAAATCTGTCATTAATATAGCCATCTGTGTATTGAAACCGAGCATATTCCGCTTATTACTTCCAGTATCCTTTTCAACAAAATTATTATGTATACTCGAAACAAGTGCTAAACCTGCTGCCAGGTTTTTACATGACACGATTCATCTCATGCCATGTCTGTGCCCATACAGAACTTTTAATGATTGTGTTTTGATGACTAATCAAGATATAATGCATTAGCTGCAGGCCAATGAGATTCTCTTTCAAGTAAGTATTTCCCGCAGATTACACATTAGCATTCAAGATTTTTCGCCAGGTGATTACAAATTCTGTCAGAAATGCTTTTTTACTGCTAATACATGACATAATTTAAAAATTTTAACAAATGGTGGCTTACTGCCGCTTTTATTATTTCTACAGTAACTGAGTTATTATCATGCCTTTAATATTCATTATGTTTAAGAGAAAACAGTTTCACACATCCATACAAGCTTATAAGTGCTAAAAAATAATGGCTAATAAATTAACAGAGTTACACCATGCCAAATCAACACACTAACTTGACCATATGAAAGATATGCTAAACCTGTGTAATAATATTATAAAATAGTTTAGTCTTCATGCATTGACGCTGTAGATCAGCATTGCACATTACAATAAACACAAAAGAATTCATAGTCATGCCACCGCCTCTTTAGTCCCATTCTCAACATGCCTGCCATGTTTCCCTATCAAGATATCAATATCACCGCCGTCATAATGTCCTAAAATCTTATAAAAATACTGAATAAAAGCTTTGACCTGCCCAAATCCTACTGGAATGATTGCATATCAATACAAATCCTATCTGTAATATGAAAATACATACAGTATACATTTTCTAGCTACAATAAATGCCCATTGTGTAATGCATGCTAAAAGATACAATAATTTGTTACCACGTAATACATGTTTAAATAATTACAGAATAATATCTTAGTCCAATTCCAGGACAGAGGGATATCTTTTATAAAATTATGCTTTAAAATTGAGGGAATTATCTTATTCAGTTTGGATATCCCCTCCACGCCCCCCCCCCCCCCCCCCCCCCCCCCCCCCCCCCCCCCCCCCATCAACATTTTACAATCCATGCTAAATATTAGTTTGTGTATTTTACAATGTTCGTCTGCATAGAACTATTTTATTATTACATATAGATTTTCAGCGTTTTATAATATAAATATGCCTACAACCCCCCCCCCCCCCCCCCCCCCCCCCCCCACCCTTCTATGTGGTGTCTACTAAAATTTAAATACTGCTACATTTATCAAAATATATTAATAACAATACTAAAATTTTCAATAAGCGAGATATTTCTTAATAACTGACCATTTGAACCTAAGTTATGCTTGCCCATTATTACAGCATCTTAAAAAGTATTAATCAACAAAAATGTTAAGCCTACAGTGGCCAAAATTTTCTTACACCATATAAGACTGTAGTGGATGCGATATCTAAGGAAAAATTCATTTTCCATACAGATTGAAATTCCATCGTGATGCCTCAGACAGTTTCAACATTTTTGCCATGAAAATATTTCACCATACATGTAATTACCTCTTTGCATTAGATGAACTCACTCTGTCGGCGATGCCGCAGTCTCTTGCTGCCCAGAATCAGCCTTTATCATGTGGGATCAGCTTCCATAACCTTTAGACGGGAACTAGAAC